CTCACTGATAAGTAGATATTAGTCACAAAGTAATGATAACCATGATACAACTCACAGACCACATGAAGCTTAACAAGAAGGCAGGCCCAAGTTAGGATGCTTGAATCCCATTTAGAAGGAGGAACAAAATAATCATAGGAGGCAGAAGAAGAGAGGGACCTGAGTGGGAGAGGGGAGCAGGAACGGAAAAGGGGGGCAGGATCAGGTATGGGGGGGGAGACAGGAGAAATACCTAGAGGGCCAGGAGAATGAATGAAAATATGCAGTTGCCATGGGGGTGGGGGGAGACCGCTAGAAAGTTTCAGAGACCTGGGATGGGGGAGGCTCCCAGGACTCAATGTGGGTAACCTTAGCCAAAATGGCCAACAGTGGGGATATGGAACCTGAAGAGATTACCTCCAGTAGTTAGACAGAGTCCCCAGTGGAGGAATGGGGACACCAACCCACCTTCAAAATTTTCAACCCCAAATTGTTCCTATCTTATAGAAATGAAGGGACAAATATGGAGCAGAGACTGAATGAATGGTCAACTGGTGACTGGCCCAACTTGGGATCCATCCCATGGGCTGGCTCCAAACCCTGACACTATTACTGATGCTATGGTGTGCTTGCAGACAGGAGCCTAGCATGGCTGTTCTTCGAGAGGCTCTACCTAGCAGCTGACTGAGACAGATGCAGATACTCACAGCCAAGCATTGAAGTAAGTTCAGGAATCTCTATGGAAGAGTTAGGGGAAGGACTAAAGGGGATGGCAACCCCGTAGGAAGACCCAACAGTGTCAACTAACCTGTACTCCTGGGAGCTCCCAGAGACTAAGACATCAAACAAAGCATGAACAGGCTGGTCTGAGGCCCCCAGCACATATGTAGCAGAGGACCGCCCTCTCTGGCTTCAGTGGAGAGGATGTGCCTAATCGTAAAGACTTGGTGCTCCAGAGAGGAGGTAGTGCTGGCGGTGGTGATGGTGGGGTGGGGGGACCCTCACAGAGGAGATGGGGGAAGAACTCTGCAAGGGGGACCAGAAGGGGAGCAACATTTGGGGTGTAATTAATAAAAAAACCAAAGAATCTGGGGTTTAATTGCTCCTCTGGGTAGAGGAAACTTGGTCTGGTTCACAAGTTTCCTGTCAGTCAAGTCCTGGCAGAGGTAGGGAGGTCTTTGCATTTAGTCAGTGTGGTGGTTTAAATATGCTTGGCCCAGGGAGTGACACTATTTGGAGGTGTAGCCTTGCTGGAGTAGGTGTGGCCTTGTTGGAGGAAGTGTGTCACTGTAAGAATCAGCTTTAAGACCCTCATCCTAGCTCCCTGGAAGCCAGTCTTCTGTCAGTCTTTGGATGAAGATGTAGAACTCTCAGGTCCTCCAGCCCCACATCTGCCTGGATGCTGACATGCTCCCACCCTGATGATAACTGAACCTCTGAACATGTAAGCCAGGCCCAGTTAAATGTTCTTTATAAGAGTTCTCTTGGTCATGGTGTTTATTCAAAGCAGTAAAACCCTAACCAGGGCAGTTAGGTTGCAAGCCTCTTCCATTTCCTGTTGCCAGTGCCTTCTGCTTGTCCCTTGGCTAGACAGACAGCCCAGCATCAGCAGAGCTCATCTCTGGCCTACTCACACCAAACCCTCACTTTAAAAAAAGTGATTAGCGTGTGCACGTGAGTATGATGTGAGGGCCTGGGCCTGAGTGCCACGGCACACATGTGGAGGGCAGAGGACAACTTTCGGTGGCCATGTCTCTCCTTCTATATATCACTGAGGTAGGAGCTTTCTGGTTTCTGGGGAGCTACTTGCTCCACACTAGCCAGCCCCAGTGTTTTCAGGAGATCTCCTCTCATCTTGACTCAGCAGTGCTGGGGCTAGAGATAGGAACCAAGCACAGCAGCTCTTCATGTGGGCGCTGGGGATGGGACTTGTAGCCCGGCTTGTGTGGCAAGTCTTTTTCTCCATTGAGCCATCTCACCAGCCTCTTGCTGTTGTCACAGGATCGCCAGGACTTCCAGGCCATCACCAGTCCCCAGGGATTCCCAGCTCCTTTCAGACTTCTCCACCAGACCACACTCTTCCTCACTAAGGGACACGGGTTGCATTTATAATTGAAGTTGCCTAAGGTGCTACAAGGAAGGGGGCATGACGCCTGGGAACCCAGGAGCAAAGGCTTATCTCAGGTGAGAAAGTGATAGCTTCCCTCTCTAAGAAATAACAGTTAGAACTCGTGTAGTCTGTAAGACCTCTCAAATGCCCGTTAGTGTGCTTATCTTATTCCTGAACGAAACTTTCCCCTTCATTCGAATTTCCTTACTTATAATTTGCCTACTCTTTAAGACATGTATGCTGGGCGGTGGTGGCGCATGCCTTTAATCCCAGCACCTGGGAGGCAAAGGCAGGCGGATTTCTGAGTTCGAGGCCAGCCTGGTCTACAGAGTGAGTTCCAGGACAGCCAGGGCTATACAGAAAAACCCTGTCTCAAAAAACCAAAAAAAAAAAAAAAAAAAAAAAAGACATGTATGTTATGTGTATAGGTATTTTACTTGTATGTTTGTCAGTGTACCACATGCATGCCTAGAGTGTGCAGAGGCCAAAGGATATAAAATCCTCCGGGACTGGAGTTACAGATGGTTAGGGAGCCATCATGTGGCTGCTGGGATCAGATTTGGCCCCTGGAAAGTAGTAAGTGCCCTTAGCCACAGGACATCTCTTTACTTCTCACTTGATAAGTCATTTTAAATTCCTTGGGGGAGATTTTAGAACAGAAAGGAAAAACTTTGGTGCTGGAAGTCAGAGTGGTGGTCAGCCTGGCTGGGGAATAGGTGGCCAGAAGGAACATTTGGGATTCTTGAATATTGATCAGCCATTTCTTCAGCTGGCTGCTTGTCACGCAGGGGTACCCACCGTGACATCACAGAGAGTTTACTCTGAGCCACATGTCACAAAACTTCCCTTTAATCCTCACACTCTGAGTTAGTTAGTTAGTTTGTTTTTCGAGACAGGGTTTCTCTGTATAGCCCTGGCTGTCCTGGAACTCACTCTGTAGACCAGGCTGGCCTTGAACTCAGAGATCCGCCTGCCTCTGCCTCCCAAGTGCTGGGATTAAAGGCATGCGCCACCACCACCCAGCTGTTTGTTTTAACATGGGGAATCTAACCTGAGGTTTAAAAAGTGAAGGAACTGGGCCAGACTGCCCAGGTCAGCTTCCCTACCACACTGCCTTTCCCACTTCCTCCTTTATCGTGTTCATCAGGCTCAGCCACAACATCTGAGGTAGCAGTAAGACCCAGAGGGAAAGGACTCCCTGGAAGGGGCTGTGAGCAGCATCCTGGGCTAAGCCAGCAGGGGGATGCCTTTGGTGGAGGCCAGGGACTGAACCCTAGACCCTCCTGGCTCCTCCTCTGACTTCTTACAGGCTTCACAAATTGATTTCAAGAAAAAAAAAATCAAAAACAAAAAAAAACCAAACTCTTGTATGTTATCAGGTTTGTTCTTAAGTCTTATGATAGCCATTTTCTGAGCCTCCAAAGAGAGAATACACAGACCAACTGACAGCAGGAGAAAAAGGCTTCTTTCAAGTTGAAACAGATGTCCCTGAAAGTCAGCCAGCAAGCACAACTGAGCTCTGAGTCAGCACCCCCCCCCCCAGGACTGGAGGATTTATTCTGACTGGACAGAACCACTGTGAATATTACTCAGCCTCATTCCCACAAGGACCACCCTCTTCAAGATATGGTTGAGGTTGAAAGGCCCTGGCCAGCCATGTGCTCAGGATAGGATTCTCACCAACAACTTTCTACAAGCACAGAAAAGGATTGTGGAAAGAACTTCAATTTTGTGTTATAATTTAAAAGTCACATATGGCAGTGGCCAGGAGATGGGTCATTGGACCAATTTAGGGAGTTCCCCATAGTCTACAAAATTAGCTTTGGGCCTCAGTAATCCTCTCTAGGCACTGCTTCCCCACAGGGAACTGGACCCAGTCCACTGTCCTTTCACAGATGAAATGCAAACTCTGAAATAGGTATCAACTGTGATTCTGGAGAAACTGCACTGGGCAGGAGATAGGTGTTGGCCTTCCCTTCCCCATCCAGGGAAACTGGCCTATTATAGAGGGCATCCACAATCAGACAAAAGGGGCTGGCAAGATGGCTTAGCAGATAAAGCTAGAAGATCTGTTTGTTTGTTTTGTTTTTAAGGATTGGAGATTATCTCAACAGCAGAGTACAAGCATCTAGCACTTGAGGGCCTGGGTTCAATCCCTAGTATAGCAACAAGAACAACAAGATACTAAATAGCTTAGCTAAGTGTCTTAGGGTTTCTATTCCTGTACAAAACATCATGACCAAGAAGCAAGTTGGGGAGGAAAGGGTTTATTCAGCTTACACTTCCACATTGTGCTGATCACCAAAGGAAGTCAGGACTGGAACTCACACAGGGCAGGAACCTGGAGGCAGGAGCCTGGCTTGCTCAGCTTGTTTTCTTGTAGAACCCAGGACTACCAGCCCGGGGATGGCACCACCCACAATGGGCCCTCCCACTCTAGATCAGTAATTGAGAAAATGCCTTACAGCTGGATCTCATGGAGGCATTTCCTCAAGGGAGGCTCCTTTCTCTGTGATAACTTCAGCTTGTGTCAAGTTGACAGACAGAACTAGCCAGTACACTAGGCATGATGGTGCCTGCTTTCAATCCCAGCAGAGGCCAACCTGATCTACAGAGTGTATTCCAGGCCAACCAGGGCTACTAGCTCTAGTGACACCCTGTCTCAAAAATAACGAAATTCCTTTTAGATGTATTAATGGATATGAATATGAATTTTGTTTGCATATATGCATGTACACTACTGTACTGGTCTTTAATAAGGGGTAAGTCTGTATGTCTACCCAAGAATTGTCTTAAACTGATCATCAGCAGCAGATGCTTGACTTGTGACCTGTTCATGTATCTCACGGCCAGCTCCCTTGCTTCCCTTTGTGGAGACGGAGAATCACACAACACAACTAAACCACAAGACTTTCCTTTCAGGACCTACAATTCTGTTTTACTAGTATGCAAACAAATTCACTATATTTACTTATTTGTGCACAGGTGAGGTCCGAAAACAATTCTCATCGGCTCTCACCTCCAACTCTCTGAAGCCAGGTCTCTGAGGTCTGCCACACTGTGTTCTCCAGGCTAGCTGGCCCTGAGGCTTCAAGATGATTCTTCCGCTCTGCTTCTCATCTTGAGGTAGGAGTACTAGGACAAATTCAAATTGCCAAACGTACTTTGTTTCTTTTGTAATTTGGTGTTTTGCCTGCATGTATGTCTGTGCACCACCTGCAGAGGCCAGAAGAGGGCACTCAACACCCTGGGACTGGAACTACTGATGGCAGTGAGCTGCCACGTGCATGCTGAAAATCTAACCGCTGAGCCATCTCTCCAGCTCTCTGCCTTTTTCTCTAGACATAGCTTGCTGGATCCCACTCAGGTTGCTAAGCTTGCACAGATAGCACCTTTACCTGGTGAGCCATCTCCTCAAGTCTTCACTTGTTCTCAGTACAAAAATAACACATGCAGTTTTTAAAAATTCAGAATATAAAAAAATACAAAATAGTTTAAAATTCTTTTCTTCAAAGTGACACAGAGTCAGTGGTAGGGACTGGGTCCTTTGGAGGCTTCCGGAACTTGCTCTGAAGGAAAACTCGGGGCACACATAGGCCCTCTTTTTTATTGACTGTCTCTCGAAACACATACTCGTTCACCACTTCTTCATAACCTGCGTCCACAAAGAGCTGCGCCAGGAATTCTAGGAGGCAAGCAGGGGTGAGTTTTGAGGGCAGAGATGGCTGGAAGGTTTGTTTGTTTCTGTAATGAAAACTTCAATTAAATGTGATTTTGTTTTTAAACTTTTCTTCTTCGTTTTTTTTTTCTCCCTTTTGAGACAGGATTTCACTTTACATCTCTGGCTGGCCCGAACTTTTTTATGCTTCTGCCTCAGCTTCTCCAGGGCTGGGAATACAGGCCTGTGCTACCACTCCAGGCTTGCTTTGTTTTTATTCACTCGCTCGCTCGCTCACTCACTTCTCGTGCATATTTCATTAGTTCACTCTATCTTTTTAAAAAGACAAACACATTCCTATTTCTCATAGCCTTAACACCCAAACAGAAACCTCCAATTAAAGAATTAAAGAAACAAAGATGTACCTATCTTGGCTTATTCTTGTGTTAGCAAATACAGAAGTCTGACTAAAGAGAAACAAAGCCCACGCTAGCTATTGAAAAGGCCTGCACACACTCAACCTGTTTACAGAAAGGAAGGAGATCTGTGACTAGAATGGGGGTGGGGGAAAATCACCAGGTAGTGATAACTTCACCCCAGCAAAACATCACACAGGTTAAATGAACCAAACCCTCAGACTAAAGGGCTGTGGAGCACCACGCAGACCCCACGGGGCCTTACCGAGGGGCTGTGCTAGGAGCACCGTGCAGACCCCACTGCGGCTTCCTGATGAATTCTAACGCATTGAGCCAGATGAGGCCATTCCACACAGTTTAAATTCATTTCCACCTGACATGGTACATTTAATTGTAAACATTTGTTTTTTTTTTTTTAGTTTTAATATCTAGAATAATGTCAGGAAATAGAAATATGAGGCAGACACAGAACTGCTATAAGGTTAACGATAGCCTGGGCTACCAGCTTGAGGTTTTTGTTTTTTTTGTTTTTTTTTTTTGTTTAAAAAAAAACTAAAAAATATAGAGCTTCAGATACACACAGCTCATCAGTTAAGAGCACCTGTTGTTGTTGCAGAAGATCCAGGTTCAGTTTCCATGGTGGCTCACAACTACCCAACTTCAGTCCCAGAAGATCTGAAGATCTGACACCCTCTTATGGCTTCTGCATATACTGGGCATGCACATGGTACACAAACACACATGCAGGCTACATATATATGTATATTTGAAATTAAAAAAAAAAAACTAAAACCAATCAAACAAACAAAGGTAAAATATCTAACAGATTAGTGGTAGAGCACTACCTAGCATGCTTGAAGCCCTGGGTATGAGCCTCAGTGTCACAAAGATAAATGAACTCCCTCTCCTCTAAATCAACAGAGCTAAAAAAAAAAAAAAAAAAAGTGATCTTTTATTCCAGATTATTAGGTAGACTTAAAACTAACACTTGAAACACTTAGAAACTGAAATGATGTTTGGCATTTTCTGATCCAAAATGCCTTTTAAAGTATTTTTTATTATTACTTTGAATGTGGAATATGTGTTATGTATTTATGTATGTGTGTGTACCTGTGTGCAATAGCATGCACACATATAAAGAGGCCAGAGGTCAATGTTTCTTTTGTCACATTTTCCACTTCAAAAAACATATTCATTTTTATTTTTGTCCATGGATGTTTTGCCGGCATGTATGCATATACATCACACACACGCCTGGTTCCCATGGCAGCCAAAAGAGGGTGCTGGATCCCTTGAAATAAAGTTACAGACTTTATTTGTTAGTCACCATGTGGCTGCTGGGATTCAAACCCAGGTCCTCTGGAGGTAACCACTGAGCCATCTTTCCAGCCCTCCACCTTACTTTCTTTTGGGGATAGTGGTGATGGGGTTTTCAGACAGGGTTTCTCTGTGTAGCACTGGCTTCAAACTCACAGAGATCTGCTTGCTTGTGCCTCCCAAGTGCTTGGTTTGACACTGCAATTCTTAACATCCGTGCACCAAACACAAGAAAAACCTTTTTTTTTTTAAACCTTTTTTTTTTTTTTTTGGAGACAGGGTCTCTCTTATGTAGCCCTGGCTGTCCCGGTCCACCTTACTTTTTGAGACAGGATTTCTCACCAACATGGGCGCTGCCACCAAAACTAGCTGACCAGCAGCTCAGGGTCTTTGCTGTCTCTGCCTTCCCAGCACCAGGATCCCAGGTCCACCCACCACACCTGGCTTTTCACAGGGATGCTGAGGTGCTGCAGTAAACACTTTAGTAGCTGAGCCATCTTCCCAGTTACAACTAACTTTGTTATTGTTTTTTTGAAAGGGTTTCATGCAGCCCAGGAACAAGCTGAGGGTCAGGATGACCTATGGTTTAATTTGTTTTCTGTGTGTGGGAGTTTTGCCTGCATGAATGACTGGCACCATGTGCATGCCTGGTGCTCACAAGGTCTTGGTCAGAGGAGGTATTTGATTTCTGGGAACTACAGTTACAGATGGTAATGCCAACATGTGGGTGTGGGAACCAAACCAGGGTCCTTGGCAAGTACAACAGTGCAACAGTGCTTTTAACTGCTAAACCATTCCTGCAGCTGGACCTTTAACTCTTGATCTTCCTGTTTCTGCCTCTGGATTGCTGGTTTCTAAGTCCTATGTGCACCCACTCCAGTTTATGCAGTACTGGGGACTGAACCCAAAATCTGACCAATGCTAGGTCAGCACTATACCACCTGAGTTACATTCCCAGTACCTCTTTGATAGCAAATTTATCTACTTAAAAGCAGATCCAGTTACTTCTAGTCAAGAAGGATTTTTGCCTTTGTGCCTGGGAAAGTACCCTCAAACCACCATGCTGAACTTAAGGCCCTTATTTGAAAGATGTGACTTTCTAGCCCTCCTCCTCCCTTTCCAGCACAGTTCCTGTTGGCATCACATGACGGGTCTGAGGCCTGTCTATTCTGTGAGGCTCACTCACTAGTCACTGTCAGCAGAGACCTTTAAGCTCCCCACAGGCCAGAGCTGGGTAAGTGGTGTGTATCAGAACGTGTTCTAAGCACTTGGGACTTGTGTGTTAGCATAGCCACATACCTGCCCAGGCAGCACTCCACTGATGGCGCAGTCAAGTACACAGAGCAGAAAATGACACACGCTAAGGAGACACTCCATTCCTCTTACCATCAGTAAAGAAATACGATCTGGTTCCATCTTGTCTGACATAAAAATTTTCTCCAAGTTTGCTTCCGGCTTTAAATCTAAGCATGGCATGATCATTCAGCCCATAGTCACGGAACAAGACACTTCTGCCTGGTTTTAATACCTACAAAAGTAAAGCAGGTTGTATAAAACCCAGTCAAATCAAATATAATCTGATGACGTTAGGAATTAAAACACAGACCCATGGGAGTTGTGAAAAAGAAGGCATACAAAATACCCTTAATAGAAATGGTTGCCTTTAAAAACCATGTCAGGTATGGGAGTACATACCCGTAACCACGGAGTTCAAGAAGCCAGGGTAGGACTATCATTTTGAGTTTGAGGACAGCCTGGCCTACATAGTACCGTGCCCACCCAGTTTACATAGCAAGAGGATCCTGTCTCAAAAAAAAAAAAAAATAAATAAAAATAAATAAAAATAAAAAATAAATAAATAAATAAAATAACTTAAAAGAACCATCTCCTTCACTAGGCTGCGTTCCCATATATCTGCTACTGACAACTTACCTCTGAAGGGTTCCTGTGTGAGAATCCCTACTGGGTCCCCACACTGATTCCTCACCCCACCCCACCCCCTGCCCAAGTGCTGGGCTCTGGCCTGACCATCTGCTCTTTGTATGGGAAGTCTGCTCCATGTGGGAATAAGGAAGTGATCCTTTCCTTTCCTCAGAATCTGTCTTCTATATGTAGTGTAGACAGCGCCACACAGACCTCCTATATACTTCAAGACTGACAGGTATTCCACAGTCCCACACCACCAGGCATAGAGCACTTGTTTTACAATGAGAGATGCCATCTCTTGGGACAAGTTTTGCCTCCTTTGGAAAGTGTGTGGTGGCACTTGTAGTCATATCCTCTCTCCACCCTCTTTCTGTTTTTTGGGTACTCTTGTTATATACAGGGAAGCTTGCCTGGCGTTAGCACCCCAGGGTGATGAGCACCATGGTGGAAAGCTCACGTGGAAGACTATTCATGTGGGCTTCGCCCAGGTGACTGCTGTCCTCTCTGCAGAGCTGAGAATGGCTTCTCTCTCCAGTACTTTGCCAACAGAACACACATTTTTAAATTAGCCAGCCAATCACTATGATGGCAGGGAGAAAGAAATCAGACTAGGCTACAAAGTCATTGTGGCTCTGATGAGAAAGATCTCTAATGGAGATTAAAAATAGGAGGAATACTGAAATGAATGAAAGCTCAAGAAAATGTTTTACAAATGTGACATGTCATACCCACTAAAGATAGATGGCATATCATTTATTCCTTCAATAAGTTGTGAAGAGGCTACTCTACAAAGACAGAGCTGGGGTGCTACAACACACTGTATGTTTATTGCTCTCATGGGCATGGGGCATACCTTTAATTTGAAAGCTACAGAAGTGCATGATGAATTTGGATGATAACTAATGAAAACATTCTCGTATCATGACACAGTTCCTTTTGTAATTAAAAAATCTTTTTTAGACAGGGTCTCACACTGTAGCTATGGCTGGCCTGAACTCATTAAAGAGAGTAGTCCCAAATTTATAGAGATCCACCTGCTTTTGAACATTCATTTCAAGCTCTGTTCTCACAGAAACCTGCCATCTATGGAGTTCAGTTTCCCTCCAAGCCAGGCTGTGCTTTCTCTGTCACTGCATTACTCATAGGGCCTGGCATCCTCCTGCTATCTCCTGTGTATCCTTTCTTCTCTCTGCTCCTTCTCTCTTTTCTTGTCATTCGACAAATGGTTTACTATCCCTTGCTACTCTAACCTATTAATTCCAGGGCTACTGTTCCTACATTTTGCAAGGACTGTATCTTCTGGCTTGACTTACTCTAAATGCCATTCTATTTTGATTCTGGTCAATCTCAATAGGCAAGTAGATTATCCTTCCAAGTATACTGGTCTTGTGCACACACACACTCTCTCTCTGTCTGCCTCTCTCTCTCTCTCTCTCTCTCTCTCTCTCTCTCTCTCCCTCCCTCTCTCCCTCCCTCCCTCCCTCCCTCCCTCTCTCTCTCTCTCTGATGTATAAATGTTCCTGTGTTTGAGTGTAGGCATGTGTGAGACTCAGAGGTCAACCCTGAGTGTTGTCCTCTCCTCCCTGTCCGCTTTAGGCAGGGTCTCTCACTGTTCACCACTGCCCACACCAAGCTAGCTGGTCTTCAATCTTGTGGGGATTTTCCGTGTCTGCCTTCCATTCCACCAAAGGAGCCCTGGGATTGTATATATGCACTACCAGCTTTACATATAGGTTCTCGGGATCTGAACTGAGGTCCTCCTGATTGCATGGCAAGCCCTTTACTCGATCAGCCATCTCCTCAGTCTCTATGTGACTGTGGAGGTCAGAGGGCAGCTTGAGTGTTGGTTTTCTCCTTCAGCGATAACTCAGGTCATCAGAGTTAGTGGCAAGTGTGTTTACTCACTGAACCATCCTGCCAGCCCTACACGCAGTGCCAGGCAAGTCTACCTTTCTTAGTTCGTTCTCTCCTTTTTTCTCATCCCCTATTCCTAGTAATCTTCCACTCTCACTTGGATCTAAATCAGGTGATATGCTCATCTTCTCTTTGGGGCCTCTCCTGTGTCTAGCTTAAGTCCCATGCCTATTTGTGGGCACATTCTGAGTTCTTACCTACTCAGATACTAGGGGCAGAATAGAATTAAAAAAGAACAAAAGGAAACTGTGAAACTCGAAGGCAGAGACAAGCCAGTGTGATGAAAGTGTACACTTTAAAATATACTACTTTGGAGTAGAATAATTCTCTAACAGTTTTCCAATGTCTTGAAACATTTATCTTTATTTAAAACCAGCGTTACGGGCTAGAGAGACAGCTTAGTGAGAAAACTTGTTGCTTCTGCACAGGACCTGGGTTTAATTCCTGGCACCCACGTGGCACTTCACAACCTCCCATAATTCTAGTTCCAGAGGCCCTGATGCCCTTTTCTTACCTACTTGGGTAACAGGCATGCACATGGTGCACAGAGACAAAACACTCACACATAAAATAGAGATGGATACATTGCCAAATGCACAGACTCTTTCATCAGCATCATTTTCCCACCTGGTGGCTGCCCTCTTTCCTCTGAAATCTGACTGTACACAGATACTTAACTGCCCCATTCTCCATGCTGTACCCATCTTTTCCTCAAGCTTGCTTGTGTCATAGTCAACTTAAATGACACACTTTAATTAAGGTGCTGAGTGAGGCTCAGCACTGGCTGCTCTGCAGAGGACCTGACTCCAGTGCTCAGCACACTTGTCAGGCTGCTCTCAAGCACCCTAACTCCAGGTCCAGGAGGTCTGACACCCGTCCTGGCCTCCATGGCATCCACACACACAAGGCATACTCACACAGACAATCTAAGACAGACAGTGCTGGGTGAGTGGCTAATGTCTGTAAACACCAGCACTTGAAAGCCAAGGCACAAGAACTACCTGGAGGTTTTGGTTAGCCTCAATTCCAGTGTGACCAAAATGAAAAGCAAGAGAGTCCGACACCAAGCGAGGTGCTGCACACCTGTAATCCTGGCACTGGTGGGCTGAGGCTAAGGCAGGAAAATTGAGGCTTCTCTGAAGTATAGAGCAGGGACATTGTTTATTAACTAACTTTAAAAAGATTATAACAAGCCGGGAGTGGTGGCGCATGCCTTTAAATCCTAGCACTTAGGAGGCAGAGGCAGGCATATTTCTGAGTTTGAGGTCAGCCTGGTCTACAGAGTGAGTTCCAGGACAGCCAGGGCTACACAGAGAAACCCTGTCTCGAAAAACCGAAAAAAAAAAAAAAAGTGTAACAATGACTTGTGAACACAAGTAAGAAGCTTATTATTTCTATAAAAAGACAAATACCTCATCAGCATGAATGTAATTCCACACTCAGGAGGCAGAGGCAGGAGGACTGCCCAAAGCTTAAAGTTCTAGGTCAGACAGCAAGATTCTGTTTTAAAAACCTTTTAAAAAAAAATAAAGTTGAACAATTTGAAAACACTTAATACTGAAATGTTGATCAAGCTGCTTTTAATCAGGTGTGAGCCTCAGCTATGCAAGTCTGGGTCAAAATGTAATCTGCCCAAAATACGATCTGTTTTAAAATTCTTACTCTATTTTTTAAAACCAGTGTTTGAAGCAGGGCCTCTCGCATATCATAAAGGGCTGAATTACCCCTAAACCTCTCTGTCCCCTTTTAAAGACCCACAACCCTACTATGTGAGTTAATAGGAGATACTCAACAGTCTCATACTCAAAACGATGACTGGTGAGAACAGTAAAGAATACATGCTCAGGCTTTTAAGTTAAAATGTTTGAGAAGATTCCTTTGTGCGCATGTACATGTTTCTGTCTTCCCATATAGCTTAGGTTGGCCTCAAATTGAGAATCCTCCTGCCTTGGCCTCCTGGATACTGAAATCACAAGCAGGTACCACTGTGCCTGTCAGAATTCACCAATTTACCATTTTTAATGATTGGTTTTATTGATTCTTTTGTTTTGTTTTTCAAGAGGAGGTTTCTCTGGCTGACCTGGGAGTCACTCTGTAGACCAGGCTGGCCTTGAACTTGGCGATCCACCTGGGAGGTCCTCCCAGGCCTTGAGATCAAGGGCGTGCATCCCCACCACCTGTCAATTTCGTTAACTGACACTGTCTGCAGTGCCTCCTGCTCACTACAGTGAACGCTGCACAGCAGTTCCTCACGGCAGTGACATCACTCACTGGTACTCTCAGCTTTAGCACTAGGAGGAGCCAGGCTTAGAGACAGATGCCAGAGCCTGTCTTAACCATAACACATAACAGGTGAAGCTTTTTTTTGATATATAGTATCAAGTAACCTAGGCTAACTTCAAATTTGCTCTATAGATGAGAATGATCTTGAACTCTCGACCTTCCTGAGGTTGAATGTGCATACTATCACTCTGGCTTTCTTTGTTTTCAGAAAGAGTCTATAGCTTAGACTGTTCTTGAACTCACAAGGTAGGCTAGGCTGCCCTTGAACTCAAAGCATTCCTCCTATCGCAGGCCTAAATTAGTATTTAGGATTACAGGCATGGTACAGCAGCCTCCTAGTGGCCACAGCAGTGTGGGTTCCTGCCATCCTAATAGGAATCACGATGGTAGTAGTAATGTAACAATGGCTGGCTTTGAGGCGCACTTAGCAGAGTAGAGGCACTGTGCTGGGCACACGTCACATATCTTAATAATCTCCCCTAAATGCCATCATCCCAGAAGTGTTATCCCAACATTTTTCAGGTATAGAATCAGGCTTGGAGAAGTGAAGGAACTTGCCTAAGTAGTGAACCAGGTTAAGATCTAGGCTTTTGACCGTGTTCTTGACCATTTAATCATGTCCTCTCACCTTTTGGATCCCAGGTAACCGCAAAACCTTCCTTGTTCTGGGGCTGGCGATGCTCTGAAGAGCAGTCACCTCACTGTACAAACCCAGAGCTGCACGGGATGCTTTATGCCAGATTCCCTTTCCCTAGACTGGCTGCAGTCTACCCACTGGGAACTGGAAGATGTTGGGAATGCAGCACGCAAGCCTTACAGTGAAGGCACGTACGGGGAACAGGGTGACCAGCCCTCAAGTACAGACACCCAGTCACTAACCTTGTACACGTTTAGCAAGACAAGGCGCATCTTCTCAGGGTGCACAGCTGAGAGCACAAAGATTAATGTGACAGCATCCACAGACTCTGGTGGGACATGGTCAAGAAGGTCATCTCTAGTGAGGTCACACTGGAATACTTTGCATCTCTCTGCATTGTACGAAGGATGTTGCTAGAAAGGGGAAAACAGAAAGAACTTGTGATTTTAATCAACCACCATGCTGAGATGTATGAACACGCAGCACTGGAGAGAGATCCTGGTTCTACTTGTTTACCGCTGCATGGGATGGTCACGTGTTACTGGGGACGTAACATTCATTACTGCTACAGGGAGCAGGCAGCATTTCAGCAACCTCTTTTTAACTGAGGGCAGAATACAGTCTGTGACATATTTAAATCAAGAGTTTTAGGCCTTTTTCCAAAAGGATGATACAAAGTCAGCAACTACTTCCTAACCCACCTTTGGTTATCTCTGATGACTCTATGAGAAGTCTTTCCAGTTTACCCTCCTGTGATGCCTCCACAGTTCCTAAGTGGTATTCCTTGAGACAAAAGACTAAAGATCCTAACCATCTTTCTTTCTAGTAAGTGTACCCCGTGTACACTTTGGCATTTTGGTGGGTTGGTGGGCTCCAACACACTTACGAGTATTATGAAGGAAGAGAGTAGTTTTATCATGTAAACAGGGACCTGAATAAATTAATATGCAAGACTTCTGGGTGAGAATATTTAGTATTAAAAAAGTATTTCTTTATTTTTATTTACGTGTATGTATGTGCACATGAGTGGCCCTCGGAGGTCAGAGGGCACTGAATCCGCTGGAACTGGGTTGCAAGCAGTTGTTAGCCACCAGATGTGGGTACTGGGAATAGAACTCGGGTCCTGTAAGTGCAGTAAGCACTCTTAACCACTGAACCGTCTCTCTAGCCCTGCAAAAGTCAACTTTTAAAATGAAGGAAATAGCTGTTGAGAGTGACTGTCCCCCAAGCCAAGCAACTGCTATCTTGGGGAGTTAGCTACATACCCTTACAAAAGATTATCCCAGCTGGGCTTGCTGTTTGCTTACACCCCATCTTGGAAGGGTGGGGAAAGTCATAAGACCCTTGCCTGAGTATCCAGCTGCTCCCCACTTTGGGGGCACGGGGCAAAGGAAGGAATGTTCTATTTAGTTGGCTAAAGGAAAACTTTCATCTTTGCTGGGTAGAGGCTTTCAGGTGCAGCCTGCTGGAGGAGCAGCACTCAGAGCCCTGCAAGCAACCCCTCACCTACACTCTGTAAGAAAATTCAAGAAACTCATTGGTTCCCAGAGTGAACTGTGGCAGACTGTGGTTTGATCTGCCACTGAGAATGTAGACGGGAGTGGTGGGCATCCTTAAGGTCTCCCCCAGAAAGGAATTTTACCAATAGAAGGAAATATGCCACTAGACATCAAAACATACAAAATATAGCAATAAAACAATATGGTTTGAGAATGGTGGCAAACCGTTCACCAAGACAGATGGTTCCTAAATAGATCCATGTGTATGTGTGAGAATTGAGTATTTTATGACAAAAGATAACAATTAGATGAAAAAGTCAGGAATGATAACACTCCCAATGTATTGTGTTCTGAAAACAAGCTACAAAATACAAAAGACTGTAGCGCAGAGATGAACAGAAATGGAAGGACATGGCTCTCATACTTACTCCCACACTTAAAAAAAAGAAAAGGAAAAAGAAAAGGTATAAGCCATGAGAGAGAAACACAAGCATCTTCAGGAAGACGCAGGCCCCAAGCACTTGCTTACCTGAGGCAGAAGTCCCCAGTTTGGAAAAACAACATTGAAAAATTAGCAGCTGGGGGTGGCAGTGCATACCTTTAATCCCAGCACTCCGGAGGCAAAAGTAGGTGGATCTGAGTTCAAAGTCAGCCTGGTCTACAAAGTGAGCTCCAGAACAGTCAGGGCTATACAAAGAAACCCTGTCTCAAAAAACCAACCCTCCTCACCTCTCTTTAAAAACAAACAAACAAACAAACAAACAAAAAACAAACAAAAACAAACCAGCAACTGCTTTGGGGATGAGAGGGCAGTACAGGATGAAGTCTCAGGGGCCGATTCTGCTGAACTTGTTTCCACAAGGAATATCACAAGGATCTCACAGAGAATGCTGCTCTTTCTGGGGCTGGCTTTTCCTCACATCCTTTTAGCAGGAAAAAGTGAGTATTCAGAAATAAAGCAGAGCCTATGACTACCTGTGAAATACTACTGCAGCTCTGGTTAGAGGGTAATGGGGACCTTCTCTGCCTAAAGTCAAGAACATCCTCAAGATTACCAACAGGGCATTGGTAGATTCTCTCACAGCTGGGAGAGGGGTGGGCAAGAAAAGCTGCGTTCTCAGAAAAATAGAAATTTCATGAGGCCCAGAGGGATGACTCGGCGCAGTTAGGAGCACTGGCTGTTCTTCCAGGGGACCTGAGTTTGATTCCCAGCACCTACATGGCAGCCCACAACTGACTTCTGACCTCCACAGGCACCAGGCATGCATGTGGTGCACATACATACATGCAAGGAAAACATCCATATGCATAAAATAAAATCTGTCTTTTAAAAAAATAGAAAAGAAAAATGTACAAAGTTCATACTCTGAGATATGAGGTTACTGCACAGTTCAAAACCAGAGGGGCAAGACATGAAGGATTCGAACTTTTCATCCCAACAAAAAGCCCCCAGTAAGTATGGTTATAGCGAGGAAGAGATAGGCAAGGGACAAAGAGAAGACACAAAGCTAAAGTCCCAAAGGAGTTTTAAGTGTTTTCAGAGCAACAACAAAGAGAATAAGAGGAACTTATTATGTAATACCCAACTTTGATTACAAATCCTTATTACCTTCAGTATCTAGTGTCCTAATATTATGTACAGCTTAAACAAAAAGCATGTAAGGGATACCAAGAAGCAAGAAGAAAACAGTCTGAAGGAAGAAGGCCAAGTATCAGAGCCCAACTCAAATATGGTATTGAATGAGAGACCAACCAAGATTTTAGGCATTTAAAATAATAATAATCAAAATGGCATAGGCACTGGGGCCCAGTCAGATGACTCAGTGTGTAAGGGTGCTTGTTGACCCAGTGTGTAAGGGTGCTTGTTGACCCAGTGTGTAAGGGTACTTGTTGACCCAGTGTGTAAGGGTACTTGTTGCTAAGCCTGACTATCTAAGTCTATGCCCAGAACCCACATGGTGGAGAGAATCAACTTTAGCACGTTGCCCTCTGACCTCCACACATGTGTAATGGCATGTGCATGCCTACCTACACAAGCACACACACACAATATAAAAATAAACAAGTAAACAAACAATGTTTTTTTAAAAGAACATTAGGGGCTGGAGAGATGGCTCAGTAGTAAAGAACACATGCTGCTTTCTCAGAGGGCCCTGGTTCCACTTCCACTAACCATACCAGGCAGGTCGCAGCTGCGATAACTCCAGCTAGAGAGATCTGAAACGTCTGGCCTCTGCAGGCACTCGCACATCTGTGCACACATCCACATGCAGACATATACACACTACACATAATTGAAAATAGAAAAATAAATCTTTAAAAAATCTAAAAGAAAACTAAAATGCTATAGATGAGAATGCAAAAGACAGATAACATGCAAAATAAGACAGGTAATATGAGGGCTAGAAACTATAAAAAGACTAAAATTTAAATGCCCCAAATAAAAAACATGACATGAATTCACAGAAGAAATGAAACTTTTTTTAAATGAGTTTATTGGAGGAATATCTCTTTTAAAAACAGTCAGTGAACTTCATAACAGGACAATAGAAATAATATGAATTAAAAATGCAAAAAGAAGCTGGGCAGTGGTGGCGCACGCCTTTAATCCCAGCACTTGGGAGGCAGAGGCAGGGGGATTTCTGAGTTTGAGGCCAGCCTGGTCTACAGAGTGAGTTCCAGGACAGCCAGGGCTACACAGAGAAACCCTGTCTCGAAAACCAAAAAAAAAAAAAAAAAAAAAAGAAGAAGAAGATTAAAAACAGAAACTTAACATATATTTAACTGGTGGGGTGTGTGTGTGTGTGTGTGTGTGTGTATGCGTGAGTGTGTGGAGGGACTTCAAATGGCAGAAGATACTTGTATCTTAATTCCTACAGGGAGAAAAAAGAATAACAACTCAAAAAATTATCTGAAGTATGGTCAGTTTTTTTTCCATATTAAAAAAGAATAGGGCTGGAGAGTTGGCTCAGCAGTTAAGAGCACTGTCTGCTCTTCCAGAGGACCTGAGTTCAATTCCCCGCGTACACGTAATAGTTCAGTCTGTAACTCCAGTTCTAGGGGATCTGACTCTCACACACACACATACAAGCAGGCATAACACCAATGTACATAAAATAAACCATTAAAATATAACAAACAAAACAATAAATAATTATCTAAGTGCCAGGAGTAAAGAATTCTTGCACATGAAACCTATTACCTCAAAAGTAAAAGGCTAATAAATTTGATATGAGCCAGGAATGGTGGTGCATACATATAATTCCAGGACTCAGGAAAGCTGAGGCAAGAGGATCAACAGTTTTACCTCAGCCTGGGCTATTTAAAAAAAAAAATCCTGAATTAGGAAAAGGCTATGATCAATACTATTGAATAGGAAAAAAAAGAGATGCCTGTAACATAGGCATGATTAACAAAACATCCTTACTGTATTCTAAAATTAAGAAGATGATAAGTCAACAGAAAAATAGGCAAAGGCACAGATTAATTCTTACTACAAATGGCACATAGTAAGATCTCAATAAATACATGCAGAAGAAATGGGGTCACAGTAGAAAAAAAAGTAAGCGTATTTACATATTTTAGTCTTCAATATCTCTGGTAATGAGAAAAATAAAATACTCAGACTTTTTTTCTCAAAGATTGGAAAAAAAAGACAAGAATCCTGAGGAAACAATTACTGGTAAAGCTGTAAATTGGTATGATCTTTTTGAAAGAAATGTAGCTTTATCTATTAAAACGTAAACATACACACCCTTCTTCTAAGGGAGTCTGTTTCCTCTGTTATTCACCCCAGAGGACTGTGCCTATGAGCTTTATTGTACAAAGCACATGCACAGTTCTGGTCACAGTGACCTGTCTTACACTAGCAAGCAATCAGACACCGATCTACAAAGTAAACCACATGAATCCAGCACAGAGACTGTTTAGTAATATTTTTGCTGTGCTTTGAGTCAAAGGGGAACGGCATCCACGGTGCTCACGGCCGCTGAGCTCCTGGAAAAGGACGGAGTAAAAGAAAGAGAAGACACAGGGGATGCACATGCGGTGCACCAACCTACCTTCACGTAGTCAACTGCCCTTGGAGAAAAATCACAGGCATAGGCAAAGATATTCAAGTCTTCTTCTAAAAGTGGGAATAAACAGTTCCCAACCCCACATCCAGCTTCCAACAAAGTCCATTTTTGACCTTCATACTGAGGAATGAGAACACAAGTTATAGCACATTACATTTGCATAATGAAGAAACACACCCAGCTAAAATGATTAGTAGGCATGACGCCTCTGACCTCATGAAGCAGAGATTAAACAACTAGTAAGGAAAAGCTAACACTGGCACCTCACTTATAATCACTCGACAATGGGCAGTTCAGTATGAAAAATAAAGCAGCCCCACACAGTGTAGACACTCTGGGCTAACCTCCTCCTCAAATCCCAACTTCTCTTTTGCCCCTGTAGTCTATCCTCAGGCAACTCACTTCTATAACTCTATGCCTCAATTTTTTTTCCTGCAAATAGGAACAACACTAATGCACTTCATAGGGTTGCTATGATGCTTTAACTAAGAGAACAGATGTAAAATTCTTAGAAAACAGTTACAGCGAATGGTTCATTCACTACTAAGTAGCTTCAATCTGTCACTAAAGTTTACTCTGAATAGTTAATATTTCTAACTTTTACATCAGCTTTAACTAAGTAGAAAACATTAAGGGGCTAAAGAGATGGCTCTGGTTAAGAGAACATGCTGCTTTTCCAGAGGACTCATGTTCAATCCCCTGCATCCATATGACAACCTACAATTGTCTGTAATTCCAGTTCCAGTGGCTCTGACACCCTCTTCTGACTTCCAGACACTAGACATGCATATGATGCATACACATACACACAAGCAAAATACCCATATATGAAATAAAATAGAAAACCTTAAAGCTCTGTTTTCTATTAAACAGCCCAGACCTTGCTAAACATACTTGAAATGAAACAGAACATTTGGATAGACTTCATAAATGTTCTTTAGGGTAGCTTGGTCAGTAAAGTGCTTGCCACACAACCACAAGGGCCTGAGTTCAACCACTGGCACACATGTAAAAAGCTGGGTGTGGTGCCACACAGTTGGAATCCCAGTTCTAGGAAGTTTCCCTGGGGCTTACTGGCCATCCAGCCCAAGCTAATCTGTGTGCCCCCAGTCTAGTGAGAGACCCTGTTTCAAAAAACAAGATTGCTCCTGAGATGACACCCAAGGTTCCCAGCTGGGAGTACACCCTAGATGTAATAAAGGACCTCTTTTTTAGGCATCATAAATGAAGATGGCTCAGGGCAGGAGAAACCCCAGCCTACCTCCCTACATGATCTTAGCTCCTCAAACTCTCTGGTGGTCCAGTGCCTGTCCTTGAAAAAATTGGTACTGTTTCTTTTGTAAAAAAGGTCCCAGTTCTTCTGAGCCTCTTTTTCCAGTTTTTGCTGTTTAAAAGCAGATACCAAAGCTTGGTCTCTCTTCAGTTTCTCCTCTTCTTCAGTGCTAAGAATCCTTGTTTGCAGTCCTTTCCTTTGCAAAGAAGCCATGGCAGTTGTTGGAAACACATTCAATGTTGCTAAAGGTCCTCTGTTCTTTAACCGTCTGAACAATCCGTGCTGAGAATGCAGACTGCAGGGGTTTCTCTGGCGCAGTTTCCCAAGGTGACTTTCCAGTTTTAACAGGATATGATGTTACTTAGGAAAAAGAGAAAGAGAGATTCTGGCTAGTGATTCTCAAATAGCCTGCCTGCTTCTCTCCCCATCCTGTTCATCTGAACCAGAGTCTAGTTATGAAAAGCTGACTTTGAATTTCCAATGGAAGAAGCCCAGGCTGTCCCTTGAATGTACTTCCTCTTGTCCCATGCTCTCAACTGCTGTGATCAGGGCCTCACCAAGCTGGAGCGTTCTTTATTACTTCTAGAGTTTGGGTTCTAAAGGAGCCCATGACTCTGGGGGAGAGGTTCCTGGAGGGCTCTTTAAGGCGCTGGGGTCAATTCACTTAACACTCACGAGATGCTGACTCTACCCAACACCCTGCCGGGGTTTGGAGAGGTCATAAAGACCAAGATAGTCTCTACTGCACAGAGCTTACTACACTCAGAGACCAGAACTCTCACGGACCGGGCTCCCAATTCAAATCAGATGAGTCAAGTATTACAAGAAATAGGTTTAGTTAGGGCAAAGGGACGCATCCACGAGTTGACTGAGAAAATGTGAGAAAAAATTCTCATCAACGTTCAGTGCCCGTAGAAAATGTGACTTCAAAACAACGGCAACAATCGCCCTAACTGAAAGCGGGTTTGCCAGACAAACAAGGGGTCGCGGTGGGTTAAGGAGGTGACGGAGCTAATCCGGAGAGACTGGAGTTTCTGATCGTACCCATAAACTGAAGGAAGAAGCATCGTCCGCCAAGAATTGAAATCCTCTCACCGCAACCATGGAGCGAAGTAGGGGGAAGGACCGAGTGACGGGTGACTGAGGTCCCGAGAACCGTCATCTCTCTCTGGACCCTCGGATAAACTAGGTCGCAAGGGTCTCGGGCATGCCCAGGGACATTCATACCTACACTCAAACTCGTGTTCACTAAGTTCCCCACGCTCTGGGCTCCCGGCCATCGGTTCACAGGGTCTCCAGCAAAGAATAGGTCAGGGCGCACTCACCCGTCACTCAAGGCCAGGCGTCGAGGGTAGAATCTTCTAGCTGAGGTGTAAACCTCCTTAGACTAGACCAGAAATCGCCCAGAACTGTGAGTTCCAGCTGTTCCGGCGAATTCTCTCTCCATGGCACTGCCCCCGCTATATCCGTTGGGAAAACGGAAGTCCCTCCCCAATGCCGGAAGTGCAGCGGCCTTACTTCCTCAGAGTCTCCCCAGACGCGGAGTAGATTGGTTTCCGGCCCCGGGTGGGCGCGGACTTGGTTCAGTGCGCGCTCCGGAGCTGCGTCCCGGGAGCGCAGTCCCGCGGGCCGCTTGCACGGGGATCCGGGACTGCGGCCGCGCGAGGAGAGCGCCGATCCGGGTGCAAGGCAAGTGCAAGGCCATGAACGGCACGGCGAACCCGCTGCTGGACCGTGAAGAGCACTGCCTGCGGCTCGGGGAGAGCTTCGAGAAACGGCCGCGGGCCTCCTTCCACACTATTCGCTGTGAGTGAGCGCCCCTCGATGTTCACTTCGAGCTCTCTGGCTGCCACGTGCCAGTCCAGACTCTCCTGTCTAATCCCGGCTCTCCAAAGCGTCGCTTTCCTTACCTTTTCATCCCAGATCCTCTGGAACTTCTTTTACGTTCAGATCGCTTCTCCTAAACCAATCTCTGGTTGCCGCCAACGAACTGTTCTTTTACCTTACAGTCCCAAATAACCATTTCATAAGGTCATAGCCCCTTTATTTCAGATCCCCTTTTCCAACTCTTAAGCCAAACTTTACTCCTTTGTAGCGATGCCTCTTTCTCCTCCCTTGTGTCCTCGTTCTCTTTGTCGAATTATTCCACCAGGTCTCTTGCCCTGGAAAAGCCTTCTCGTTTGCCACGAGCGTCATTTACTCCACTCCTTTCTTTCTTTCTTTCTTTCTTTCTTTCTTTCTTTCTTTCTTTCTT